TATGTAATTGTAATATGTAATATATATAAAATTATAATAAATACAACTACTAGGTTTAATAACCATCAGATACTATACAACTCCTGAAGCAAACTCGTTTTCCCTCCCTCTTAGAATACGAAGTGCATACTTTCCAGTGTATTTCAGCATATTTGAAAACTGATAAATGAACAAAGTTAATTTATACTAATTCTAATGAAATATCTTTTGCTAAAGATTTTCTTTTAAAAGCATGAACTTATCTTTCTACCAAATGTCATCTCACTTAGTTACAAGACTATTAAGAAAGCAAACTCGTTTTCCCTCCCTCTTAGAATACGAAGTGCATACTTTCCAGTGTATTTCAGCATATTTGAAAACTGATAAATGAACAAAGTTAATTTATACTAATTCTAATGAAATATCTTTTGCTAAAGATTTTCTTTTAAAAGCATGAACTTATCTTTCTACCAAATGTCATCTCACTTAGTTACAAGACTATTAAGAAATGCATCCAGAAATGTTGAATGTTTTTCATTCAAATTGAAACACTTACTCTCAGACTGTACTTCCAAGAATCTCCTCCAGTCTCTTCCACAGCTATTATTTCACGAAGAAAAGGAAGAAGTATTATTTCAACTATGATTCAAATAAAATTTAGTATTTCAACATGTGAATATCAGACTATGAGAAATCTCGTTATAAAAACAATCTCTACAGGCAGTGTTTGTCCATGTAACAAGACTGCGGAAAATAAAAACGCCAATATTGCTGCAAGCAATTTGTAGAGGCAATGCAGATATGAAACTCTTATACCAATATCTAAATAAACTGCAACCAACTATACAACATTTTTCTTACTGAAGCCTTCTGGGTCCTCTTCCCACATCATTAATTCTTTTTTTTGAAATAGTGAGTGACTAATCTCCTACATATTTCCATTAGTGTTGGATATGTGAAAAATGCTGTCTTTATCTTATGTGCTTCAAGAGTTTCAGGACTGCTATCTGAAATAAAACATAGAAAATTCCAAATTATAATTAAGTGGCTTAATGATCAAAGAGTAGTCTAGTAAAATTAGAAAGAAAACAATAGATAAGAAATTCTTATACTCAAAGAAAAAAGAAAAATACATTTTCATGGCAGACTAACAACAGGCTTTCAATGTGCTACCTTTTTAAAGCAATTTAAAATCCCAAATTCATTTACTTTTAAGAGAGTTCTCTAATAGCACAATTAGACGGAAGGGTCATTAGGACTTCACAACGTATTATAATGGCTTTCAGCTACTATGTAGATGAAAAGAAAAACTGTTTACCCGCTGCTTTTGGTATTTTTTTTATTTAGCATTACTGAATTAAAAAGCACACAAAATTCAAAGTTTCATTTGTACCTATTCAGAAAATTTATCCAAATACAATCTTAAAAATGAATTGGGTTTTTTAGGACTTAGCATTCATTAAAAAAGCAGCAATAAAACCAAATATTGTATGCCGTACAACCAGCACAAACACTATGTCAGTCAGAAATTAAGAAAAAAAAATTTTCTATTTTAATTTTTTTAATCACCCAGTTCTCAAAAAGTCAAGTGCTATAGATTTTATTACAATGTGCTATATTCTTCTTGTCTCAAGTGACAATGTTACTATTTCAAAAACTCAAATACAACTATGAACTTTTGTAAGTAAGTATTTTCATTAATAATCAGTGGATTTAGAACATTCTAATCTATTATAATATTAAGGAATAACACTGAAATACATCAATATTCTGAAAAATTTTAAGTGCTGGGTTTCTCTAATCTGATACATACTAGTATGATCATGAAACTTTTTTTTTAGATTTAGAAAGAGAATGCTAATTGTCATCTAGTCATTGCCAAATATCGAACTACTGTGGAAGGGCTGGTGGGTTGTTTTTTTAATATAGCTCAATTCTGTTTTTCATTTCATTATCTGTACATACAGTAGCGTAGGAAGATTCAGAATGAAACACAGTCCTAGAAAGCAGAACATATAAACTGCTTTATATTCATCTGCATGTCAAATTCACTGTGTTTCTCTCTTTTGTAGTACTTGTATTAGTTAATTACAGCAAATACCTCATTTTATCAAACATTTCTCAAGGGAAAGATACATTCAATCATTTGACAAAAATAAACGAAATTCAATACCTTAATACTGTTTAAAATTAGTTCAATGAAAACTAAATAAAAAAAAAATTAAAGATAGTCACGCTCCTTGTCTATTTAAAATTACTTTAGCAAGTCAATGTCTATATACATTAATACTTTAACCATGAATATAAGAATTATCAATACAGAGACAGAAGCATAGATTACTAACAATTCAAACATTAAGTGCTTCAAAAGAATGTCTTAAAAGTTTTATTGTTGAGAACAACTAGCAAAATGTTTCTTAAGATATAAAAAATGTTTTTAGTAAATAGCAGCAATACCTTCAATATTTTTGGATGGCTTGTAAGCATAATTTTTTACAATCATCTTAATGAGATTCATGCACTGTACAATAAACCGCTCAAATACAATTCCTTCACCAGCCTCTGTGAAAACATAGCTTACAGCAAACTCCAATGACCTTTGAATCAAAGGGGTGAATGAAAAAGGATGTTGATCCAGGAAGTCCAAAAGCTAAAAAATTAAGGAAGTAGAAGAGCAACAAAGAAATCAAATGTCTTTTTGTGCAAGTCTTATTAAATGTTTTCAAAAGCTAGTTATCAAAAACAACTGTCAATTTATATAAAATTGTAGAAAAGAAAACTGAACACAGACAGGAAACTAGGAAGAGATCAGTATCAATGGTTAATGAAGCATTATTTTGCCTTGAAATTCTTGATTTGTGTTCAAAGTTACCTTTAAGTTTAAGGAACAATACTCATTTTCAACTATACTAGTTTGCTAGGAACACAGTATATAAAACATACCAGCCACACTTAAAACACTGAACATTTTAGCAAGTAGTTCATCCCTATTAGAATTAATGTAAGTAAGAGGCATAAGGGAAATAACTTTTTTTTTTTCTCCTCCTCCACTGCCGTACAAGCACTTGCTTCTCCAGCTTAGCTTTTCCAACAAGCAGTCTAGAATGCACTCATCAATTCCTTTAATCTCCGCTACTACTGCAAAAATGCCTAAGCCTAAATTCTTGCATCTGAATTTTTAGAGGTGGCAATTATCTATTATTAACGTGTTTTTTCTCTTCAGGTCTATGAAAAAAGACACACATGCCTCACATACTTTGCTTGGTAGTTCAAAGTAAGAAGTTCTATGACAAGGAGACTAAAAGTACTGGGTCAGAGCACCTTCAGTGCAATTTTGGTGAAGACAACAGGTAGCCTCCCACTTCTGACAATTAGGCTGAATATTTAAGTAAGATCCATGGCCCCAAGATAGAATCTGAAAACAATGGGAATTCTGCAGGTTTTCTATCTTTTAAAAACAGAGCAGATGACAATGCTAAAATTACCTTCCGTTAATATATGCAATTAATGGTTGTACAGAATTAGGTGACAACTCCAAATACATTATATAAGAAACAAGTCACAGAGGCTAAGAGGTTTTTGTTAATTTTCTTTCAGTAAACTAAAAGTGGCCAGTGATTCAATAGAATTAACAAGGCTTTAGAAATAACAATCTAACTACTTACAAAAGACAGGATGGAAAGTTTATCTTTATTCATCAATGCTGATACCAATGTTTTCGCAAAACTTTCAGAATTCTTTCTTGAGCAAAATCCTAGATAAATAACTTATGGAATGCATTAATTTTTTTTTTTGAGCTAAGGACAAGTATTTTTCACTCCTGCAACTTACGTCAGCATGAGTAAACACACACCTTTGTCTTAGAAAAAAAATTAAAAATGTATTTTTTAACAAAAGTTTTAAGTTGCAGTACCTTCCATTTCTTTAAAAGGCCTGAAACCTATTGGCTTTAAGACATGCAAATATCTGGATGGGGACTGCTCCTCCAGAACGGTAAACTATTCAGTAACAGAATGGAGAATTTACTTACCACTTTAGTGAACAGAATTATAGTCTTTTCTAGACGATCTCTGCATACATTTTCTGCTCTTATACTTCTACCTGGTAAAATCAGATATTTAACAACTATCAATTTTTAGACTTGACTTTTCTTTCTGGAGAGCTAAGTTTTAAAAAATTAACATTGGAGAACAACTTGTTTTAGCTGTAGTTCAGGGATCATGGCAGCCAAAAATAAGTTATATGGCAGAATAAATTCAAAGTCAAATTCAAGGTAAGTAAGTACTGGGGGAAAAAAAAAAACCTTTAACCATTTCTCTCAGCTGCAATGAAATTCACTTTAACTGACCAGAATAAAACAAGCCGGACATCATTACAGATAACTCAATGATAAAAGACAGTTAAAATAATGCAAAAAAAATGCTAGAAGAATTTACAAGAAGTAAAAAAGCACTGAAAAGATGAAAATGCCCTTCTATTAAGATTATGGTATATCCTTACTACGTAATAGTATGTGCTTTAGTATGTACTTTTCTAGAAACTCCACTTTAAAAAATTATTGATCATGGACACTGGAAAACATTCTGAATTTTTAAAAAGCAGATAAAGCTTTTATAAAAAAACCAAAAAAAGCCATAATGAAGGCATACAGACAAAAATCATGATATAATAAAACACTAATCTTGTAAGGCCATCGTGCCTGGTTTTGCAAAACAACTTATTGATTAGAAAAGTGGCAATGGGAAGCTTTATCTCATTTCTTATCTGAGGACTTTCAAGCCCCACAGTCCGCATGTTCAAGGGACTATGATAACGACCATGCTTCAGGTTAGGATGGCCTTCAATTCAGTCCATTAAAGTTAGGCAACTACCTTGCAAAAAAAAAGAAGAAAAAAAATTAAAGAAGGGCCAGAAAGAGCATGACTACAGTATAGAAGAAGGGCCAAACAGCTGCATGCAAAGCAGCCTGCATTTTAGAAGAGCTAAAAAGGTATTTTATTTTGGCACTGAACACAGCGGCAGTTTCCATCTTTTCTAGAAACGAGGCTCAGAGCCCAGATCAGCCCCTCTCACTTAAATACACGCTTCTGAGCCAAGTACCTTCATTTATATAAAGAAAATATATTTCTACTCTGTTTAGAAATCTATTCTCAGAAAAAGCGTTGTTGAATCCCAAAAGAATGACCTGACAGGCTTCAAATGAATGAATGGCTTGCACCAGGTCTACTACAAATGTACACGTAAGACAAGTGAGTTCAGATGCAACACTACCAAACATTTTTTTTGCTTGCTTCAGGTAACTTCCCTGCAAAAGCACTAACTTCTGCCTATTATGCTTATATTTCTGTTGACTGTGTTAACCTGTGGTTGCCTGTCTCAGGCTACTACTCTTCCAGTTACAAAACTGGATGTGATCTTCATTTCCCATTTGACACCTACCAAATAAATGGCAAATTCCAGGAAAAAGAAAAAACATAAAATTTTCCCAAAGAAGAAAACTCAAGATGATCTGACAGTTTCAGCAGCATTTAAAGTAATCGCTTTGCACTTATTAAAAATATCTTGCACCTAAATGATTACTGATACACACTCAACTGTATTATGTTTTCATGCAGCTTCTAATATTTAACAACCAATACAAGAAAACATATCCAGATACTTACTACACTCCAGAAACTGTTTTAGTCGTTCAAACACTGCATGTAGAAAACCCTGAAAAATATAACGTTTGTGTCTTTTAAAGATGAAGCTTATTTTGCACTGTATGAGAAGAAAGTTAATCAAACTGAAGCCAGTTCAGAAGTGTTACTAGCTCAGACATCACCTTACCACTTTTAACTGAACTGATAATCTTGGACAAACAATTTCCTCATGAAACAATCAGTTACCTAGCAGACTGCATAGATGATCCAAACCAACCTTATTAGTACCACATAAACAGCATAGCATCTCTAGTAGAATAAGGTATAGGTAAATATAGACATATGTTTTACAATCTGCTTATCCATTTCTCTCCTGTTCTCAACTTCCTAGTTTAGTATGTAGGTCATAGGTAACCAATTCCTCCAAGAAAACAGGCAGTGTTTGGGGTTAAGGGAGATGCTTGGGTTTCTTTCTTCTTTCTTTCTTTTTCCCCTCCCCCGGATGGGCTGCATACCACAGGTTTTCATCTCAATCAGAAAAATTCTACCAATAGAATGTGATACAACAAATATGCCATTACATTCATCATTAAATGAAAACATCCTCTTCAAATGACAGGGGAAAGTACATATAAGGCATCTTCCAGTAGTCAACTGGAGTGTCACTATTATGTGACATTTAAATTGGATGGGGTACCTTTTCTTTTTTTAAAGATCATGCCATTGGTCCCATAGTGTTTAAGATCTATCCAGGATCTGACAGTTCTCAACTAACAGGAGGACAACTTTGAGAGCATGTTGCTTGATCTTCCTTTACATAAACGCAAACGTGTGCCTTGCAATGATTTTTAAACATAGCTCTAACAATACCTGAAATAATCACAAAAGATTTCTAATCTAGAACTAGGACCAGATATATGTCACTTACCATCACCTCTACACTCCAGTGAGGTTCTACAAATCCATGGACTGTGAGTTTACGAAGCACTAGGAAAATAAAAAGTTATTTGTGTAGATATTTCTCAGCCTTTGTTCCAACGTATTTCAGAACACAACTACAATTACAGTTGCTGTGCCTTTCTTCCAATTGTCCATATTAAAAAACACATTTAATTTTGGGCCTTTGGATATCTCAACCATACTTAACATGACCTTAATCTTGTTGAAATTACTTCAAAATTCAGTACTTCACACGTAAAATAATGAAGAAAACTCCAAGAATTACTGAAACAAGAAGAAATCTGCAAAAGCTGTAAGTATTCAACTTCTGAAAGGTTCTGCAGTAGGCCCACTACAGTCAACTAGGGCCTATCAGCCATCTTATGAATTTTCTCAGGTTTATCACTGCCAGTAACCCATAGAAGCCACACGCTACACCTTCTGAAACAATTCAAGACTGGTATTCTACATTGCAAGCACTGCACACAAACATCTCAATTCTTCAAAGCAGCAAAGTACAGCAAGGATATGTAGTCATCCTGCTGATAAGTACTTGAGCAACCACCTAAAATCTAAACTGACTGCTAAGGCTACCTCTTCACTGAACCCAAGGTGAACTCAACGCAACAAAATTCATAGGTCAGCTTCCTCAGTTAACTGCCTATAGACAGACAGATGTAAGCCTAAATTACAACACGTATAACTAAGACCTGTTATGCCCTCCACTTTCCCACTTCCTAGACTTTGACTTCTTACAGCACGCAGATCAGAATGGTACATACTGAGAAACAAGAGTACCTTCTCACCCTTTCATGTGAACAACCTCCTCCTGCCTTGCTAAAGGTACAGATAAAATAAACCAAGATTGTTTTTCCCAATGAGCACGGTTTTGTTGGAGAATGCTAACTCTTTACCATAAAGGTCTTAGTCATTTGCTGTGAAGAAACTTACTTGACTCCTTGTATTTAATATCATTCTGTATTATTACCTTTCAATGACAACAAGGTTCTTTCTAGTGAATTCGTGGCTGCAGCTTCATCCCCTGCACAAACTTGCTGTAGGAACGTATCGGTATGATGATTCCACAAGGAACACGCAAAGCTATAAATACCTGATGCAAGCTGCAAAAGGAAGAAAGACCAACAAGATATTTGATGTCCTGAATTTGGCTATAGCATAATAAATTCCTAAATTTTAAAGGCTAGTTTAGACTGTTAAACTATTTAATCCATCTTCTTGTACATCACAGGCCAGAGAGTTTCACTTGCTGCTTTGCTGTACTGAGTTGTACTGATCCAAACATGTTTTCCAGAAAAATGTTAACCCTGTAGTGCCAGATGCTTAGAGAATTTCTTTTTCCTACCTAAAGTTCAAACAACTATGAACAGTGTTCCCAACACAGTCAAACTGGATGCACTGAAAATTTTCATTCATGTCAAATCTGATGATAGAGGAACTTTCGATACTGAGCACAAGTTAAACCCCAACATTTAAGCATAAAAAGCCTGCTTAAAGAGTATGCTCATTAAAATGAAATTTCAATGATATTTTTGACAAGAACTGCCTTACAAATCTAAAAAAAAATAAATTGTTATAAGCCTTTTCTTTGCATGTCTGAAGTTGTCTCACTCTATGAATAAAAGAATATACAAAGAAAATACCATGCTGGAAAAATAGCATTCCATAAGGCAAAAGGTTCATATGAACTTAATGAATTTCTTGAAAACACAAAAATGACTGAAGATAACAGCTCTTTCTGGACCTAGTAAGACAGTGGAAATACAGCAGAGATACTGTTGGACATGACAACTTTAACAACAAATACTGGACCTTACTACCTATAAATTCCTTTGTCCCTCTGTTGAGATGGTATAGATTTGGCTATTTTATGAAGGTGAGGCTTTGGGATTAGGTTTTGATTTTTTTGCTACATCCTTGAACGTTAGTGATGCTTTCAGCTGCACAACCGGGTTGTATAAGCAACATCTTAATTTAGGAGAGCTCTAGAAAATAAATCATTATTTCGCTTGCTCTTTATTGCTTTGGAATTAATATCTGTGAATATACCATAACCTGTATTGTTCAATTATACAGATCATGTATAATGGCCTAATAGATTTCAAAATATAAACAAAATTCCTATATGGACGTTACATTCATCCATACCTACACATGGCAGAGAGAGAAAATACTGTTCGTCTATACACACATCTCATAGCAACGTATCATTGTTTCAGTCCTGTCCTATTATGAGAGCCAGCCTTCAGTTCCTCAGAGTCCTGACAATTAAAATTTCACCTTTAAGATTACACAGCCAGTATTTTTTTCTACATAGATAAACGGGTAAACCTTCAGAAATAGACTTCCTTATCTGCACTGTAATCTTTTCTTTAAAATAGAGGAATAAAATAAAATTTTGTAAGTTCAAATGTAACATGTTTGGAAAAAATGTTTAACCCACTGAATTCAGTTAACTGTACTACATCATTGCCTGACTCCAAATGGGATGGGAGATTGAACAGCCTACAGCCAAAGGTAAATCTGTGTTCTATCAGTGGATTCTTACAATGGAGAAGGTAAGCTACATGAGACAAGATTTGACATTTGCATTCACATCTTGCCTTTTAATTAACTGGTAGAAAGAAGTTGGTCTGGAAAAACCCCAAACACATTCCCACTGCAATAAAATCCAAAAATACTGTAGTATGGAAGCCCGAACCCCAACATTTTTTAAAGACTATACTGAATTATGAATCCACAGCACACTTCCAAAAACACTGCAAATTCATACATAATAAGATCTGCTGTACAGCATGATAACATAAGGCTGATATGCAGATATTGTTCTGTAGATGAAACTCTGCTTCTTAACGCAAGTTATCATAACACTTAAGCTGCATGCAAAATTAATAAAGATCTCCAAAACATTTCACTTAGAAACTGACTTCCAGTTATTTAATATTGTACATATACCCACCAAAGTAAGAGCACTTCTGTTTCAAAGGCAGGCATTAAAGTCAACATAACTGACATTAATGCACTGTCAGCTACCCACAGGAAGTTGCAAGCATGTACAATATGTGGTTTGCATGCTCTACAATATTGCATCACATTACTTACATCATAGAAAAGTTTCCTATCTGCAGCAAGCCGTTTGGATGCCAGGGTCTTTGTAACATGATAAAAGGTAAGTAGTGCTCTGTGTTGTCGAAGATCATCCTGGACTTTCACAGATTCTAGAAGAGTGGGTATAAGTTCTGGCCATTGCCTTGGGCAGTCCACCCTGGCAACTTTAGCAATCAGTACAGAGATCTGAGTTGCTATCTGCAAAAAAGCAAAAAAAAACATTCAGGAAGCGTACAACGCAGAAATTAACAGCCAAATAAAACCTGAATTAAAAAAAAAACACTAGTATGAATTGCTAGGTTTTTTGTGGGTTTTTCCTCAAACTATTTTTAAGTTTGCTGAATGCAAATCAATGTGGAGAAAAAATGTCGTCCATTTTATGTTTATAGTAAATATTTACAGAAAATGCTAAGCTGGCTACTTTGTTTAAATTTTACATAAAGACTACTGAATTTATTTGTTCTGGAAATCACATAAATGAAGACACAGATGTTTGGGAACCACTTTTTTACTTAGCAATCTTTTCTATCGCTTTCTACAAACACAGACTGCGGAATACACACTACCCTCATGCCTGCTATACCTCAATTTTAGCCTTTGCAGAGACATTCCCTGCCCTCCCCATGCATACGTGCCTGCGAGCTGTGGTCCTGTCCCAGTGGCTGGAGTCAAGAGACTCTCAAGTTGCTCCAGACCCTTACACCAAAGGCCATGGGCACCTACGCCACCCCCACCATCTGACTTTGTTTGCTGGCACCAAATCCCACTCACACCAGTCTTGCCGGTAGCTGGCACCTAGTCTTTGCAGCACACACACATGACAGAGTGAGATTGCACAGAAAGGTAGTTAAGGGCCTCAAGCAGAAGACAAGACAGATGGTGGAGATTAGGGTTTATTCAGACATGGGTACTGAGCAGCTGTGGTCTACACATGACTGGCCCTTTTTATACCCTCTTTTTGTCTATTCCCCCCTTTGCTGCTCCACAACTCCCTTCCCCTAAACATTCTTCAATAAATTTTGTATATGTTATGCTTCATAACCCCACCACAAATATCAAAAAAACTTCATGTTCTTGTTTCCCCATTCTTATGCCATTTGCGTTGAGGTTGTGCAACCAAGGACCTTTTCAACAAAGCAGATTCTCTCACCTTCAACATACCCTTAGAACTACCACCACACTTCCAGCTTAGGGACAAAGACACCTTCTTATGCCATCAAAAGGAACCCAAGTGACTTACAGGCGTAAGAGGGAATAGCCGTGCCCTCCCTTATCACTTCCTTAGCTGTTTCATCTGAAGTCTGACCACCCTACAAAACTTCCTACAATATTCACTCCCACCCACTTCCTTAGGGAGAAGAATTGCTTCAGAAAACTGACGTCAACATTTGCAAGGAAGAGCTTAGAGTTCTATTTATTTTTGGATCAAGTGATGTCAATTGGCACGAGGGAGCAAATACACTCTTCTCCATATGTGATACAAGAAGCAATCTCTCCAGGGATGCTAAGAGTATTTTTTCCTTGAGGACTGGCTTTTTAAGTGAAAAAAACTGCTGTCATACATTTCAAGGAGTATTTTGTTCCTCTGTTCCCTCCATATGGTAAATATCTTCAGAAGGCATGGAAATTATGCTCCCGACATATGGTATGTTCTGTTTTTCTTCTCCCCCTCCCCTGGAAGTCAGCTCATATCATCACATCTCAATACTATGTCTAATTCTTTTATTTTCGGTTCGTTTTGTTGGGCTTTTTTCTTTTTATACATACAAGGGTCATAGTTTTGCTCCCTTCAATGATGCAGAAAGCACAAGTAGATAGCAACTGTGTTATGAAGTGCCTGCGACTGGAAAAGAGCACTCATCAGGAACGCAAGACATCAAAACTCAGGCATATCAAGCAGACTAGGGACTAAATGAAAGATGCCTCTGAAAGGAAACCTCAAGATATCTACAACACAGATTGGGGAATAAGGGAGAAAGAAGGGGAGATGGACTCACATACTTCAATATCACAACAATTGTTTGGGCAATCATTTAGGAGCAGGCTGCTGACATAAAATAAAACAAAATCCTCCACATCTTAAAAGACTACATCCCAAAAATATCATAAGGACACCCAAATAAATACATAAAGCCACAAGTCTTTAAAATGTCAGTTAAAAAGGTTCCCATCTTAACCTGCAACTATAGTCACAGAACTGTAGAACTGTTCATCAGCAGTGAAATTTATAACTATAATTTATACCATACTATTGTCTTAGCAAGCAAACTGATTAAATACTAATGGAGGTATTGAAAAATTATTGATAAAAAGTTTGAATTGTTTTCTTCACAATGCAGTAAAATTAGGTTTTTAGAATGTAAATACCATTCAACAACATCAAAATTAAAGATTTCATAAATTTTATACTACCTAGTAGTAGCATAAATGATAAACACTTTATGGTCCAACATGACATACTTCATGGTTCCTCTTGGTTGAAATAAAGCAAAAAGTAATATTTAGTCCTATTTCTTACATTGAAACTATACCTGCACTACAAATCTAAAGATATTTTCTATGTCCACCTGTGTTTTAAAAAATTGCCTTTGAAATAAAACCTTAAATTCTAGCCAAAAGTGTCACTGCACAAAGGTCTTCTACAAAGACTAAATTACCCTAATTTTGACACATTGCTCTAATCCTACAATAAACATTAATCCCATCGAGGAATCCTGAAAAGTTGAAATTGAACTGTCTGCAGAATAGAAGTTTGTTTGCTATACATTTTCTTTTCAAGCTTTACCTTATGCAAATCATTTCTATATTTTCTTGAAAAAATTCTTTAAGACCTATCTTAAAATATTAGCAAATACTTCACTGCAGAATCTCATACTTACATGAGCAAGAATGAGTTAGCAGAAGGAAGACTGATTCATCTAGCATGTGCATATTCTGAGCCCCTAACATTAGTTCTATTCTCAGTTTAACAATAAATCCTTATTTTAGTCAAAACAGTAGCTTAAAATTAGTCACTTTATGTAAGACAAGACACTATCATACTGAAGCTTTATTATGCCTATATAAATTCATCAATGCTGTGATTAGATATGCGACAGCACTACTGCTTAGGTGGGTTTATGCAGCAGCATTCTCAACAGCTCATTCCTACTAATGCCATCACGACCCTTCCTTGTATGGATATACTGGGAGTCAGATCAGAGAACGGATACAGCTGAAAAAAGAAAAGTCACACAGGCAGAGAAGGTTATTTTTAAGCTACGTTCATTCCCTGAAACGCTTCACGAAATGGTTACATGAACAGCGAGGGAAAACAAACTGCCACTGCAACAAAAAACAAACCAGAGACAAAACACATTGAATTATCATCTATGGAAAGATAAAGTTTGTCTGAAAGGCAACATGTAAATTGCAACTTGTCAACTTCATTATTATTAAACACTTTGTAAAGAGAGAAAGCAAATTATATACCAATACAACCATTTACTGGGAGAGTAATAATTAATCGTTCACCACTAACCTGATTCACTGGCTCATTAAAATTGGTGATAAGTCCAGCACGCAATGTAGTTTTTTCTTCTTCAGAAAGAGCACTGTGAGGATGTATTTATTAGAACATAATTTAATTTTCAATAAAAACAACTATTAATTAATATTTAGAATTATTTTCTCACTATTACTAGACAGAGAATGATCACTCGCATCTGTGCATCTGTGCTTGACTGGATGAAAATTACTTTTATACACCATTTTCTTGAAACGAATGTATTTCAGTTTGATAAACTGTCAATAGAACATCCCTTGTTCTTCCACTATCTCAAAGATATTTAAAAAGAGAGGAAACAGTGAAAGAGACAAATATTTATGAGGCCTTTTAACCTCAGATTTTGATGTGACCTTTGTAAAGAGAAAGTTCACAGAGTAAGGTACCCAGATATGTTAAGAAAATAAAGGGAAACTGTACAAACAATAAACTGATTGCTATTATACAGTTATTACTGCAGTGATTGATGGCTTGAGTAAGACTACTCCCATGTACCTTAATAGATAATGACAAAAAGATGCCCAGTATAAGGCAATCATGGTATCACATGACAGCTCTTTTTGCAAACAATCATCCTTTTCTACAACAAATCCTCTTCCACAAGCAGGTCACATAACTACACTTATAAATATGGATCCTTTGAAAATTACACCTTTGAGTGATAAATATATTGGTATAGTCTTCAAAAATGCAAGGAAAACTAGTAGAAAGGATAAATTCTATGCCATAAAGGTTAAATTTCATTCAAGTGAAGCTTTACACTATCTTTATACTTCCTTTTAAGTGATCTCTATCAGTTTAAGACTAGAAGTTATATTATACTGTAACTCCTGCACTACTTCAGACTTTATACGATCCATGGAATTTTCTTTTAAGTTCCAGGCAGAAAACATAAACTGCTTTTAAAAATGCCTTGTTGGTATTTATGGACTATACAATGAGAACCACCCCCCACCCTCCATCCAACCACTTCCATTTACCAATAGCACCTAGAAAGCTGTTTCTTGTACATAAAAAGATTATCATGCAAGGTTTTTTAGATGAAACTGTGTCACCTAACATTGCAATGATATAGAAGCATGCATGCAATCACATCTCAATGAAGTCTAGTGGCTGGAAATTAAGATTAAACACACCAACATAACCACTTCCTGTTGTCTGACCTCAGGCACAGATAATAACCTACTAGTTGTAGATAGTGAGATTTAAAACAATGCTTAAAGCTCCCTAAAACAGATCTAGACAAATACTAAATATTCATCTCAAAAGAATAAAAAGCAGAGATAGGATTTACCGTAAGATCAAACATTTGCAACAATATTCTAGTTTTCACTTTCCCTCTGCCTCTGTGTGTAACACAAGTGCTCACTATTTCCTAAATCAAAGACTTATCATTCTAAGTATGTTACACAAGGGGATGGCGGGGGGGGAATTATTGTTTCACTGGTGACTCAGAACTGCACACTATGTCGTATTTTTCAAAGGTAATTTACAGTACTCAGGAACCACATTCAAATTACTTTTTATCAAGACTTAGGCTGTATGATATTTAAATGTAAAATTAAATTAAGCCTAAAAACATTTTGGGTAAAATTCACAAAGATTCCTGCAATGGTAAGTTTTTCTGCAGGGAACTATTTCAGTTATTAATCTAAAGCCACTAGATGACATTTTAGGGAAATAAATTTCTCTGATTTTTTTTTTTAATACAAAAATGCAGGATATACACATACAAGCATACTCTAAGTCATTTCTAAAACTTGCAAGCTACTGTTAATACAATTATGAAATATAATCTCAATTAAATGTAACTTGTACAATGATTCAAGGATGACAGAAAGCACCTAAAAAATTCATTTGTAAAGAAAAATAAAACCTGTTCCACTATATTATTTCATTTACCTTGTTCATGAGCTCATGAGGTCCCTTGCCTTAACTATTTTTTCATAATTATAATTATATTGCTCATACCATACACATATTCCAAGAGCAGCAAGCATTCAATTCATTTCTATAAGTAAAAATGCTGTAATTACGCTTTTGCCACTACAAACAAAACAAAGGAAAAGAAGCAGCCTTGCAAGGATGAACACCTCAAATATATAAGTTTATCACCAAAGTTGGCAAAGAGTAATAAAAAATAAAACTCGAAGAAATCGATACAGATGCAAGTGGTGTACTGCGGTATGTGACAGGAATCGGGGATTCTAATAGCTCACCAGAAAGCAGATGGAGGAATTTATTGTTTCAATAATAATACGACAGTGACACCCACTGGAGACTGGATCCCCCTGCCACAGGCTCAGCCCCCTGCATGAGTAAGCCACAGACAGCAGTGGATTTATCCTCCTTTTAACACATCACAAGAAAGGCCCACGACACCATACGAAAGCTAAAAGCAGGCTAGAAGTCATGAAGAGTATGTACCATGCAACAAGTTATTTCCCTTCAGCACTGAATTACACCACATCAAAATTTAAAGCAAACTCCTCTAGAGAAGAACTTCTAAGTATATATGTTGTAGTCTTTCACAATTTGCAATTTCATGTTTCTGATCTTTTTCTGTGTTTGGTATGGGGAAACATGTATCCAAATATTTTTAAGCTATTTTGGAGCTGTTTTTAAAAAAGTCTAGTACTTCACAAACCAGAAATCCAAATCTGAAGAGTTACTCATAGTTATCATTCAAACAAATAAAAACACAGATTTAAGAAGTATTACTAAAGTTGCCAAGCCAGTAATCAAATCAGAGAACAAAGTCCACAAAAGACAGGATTTAAGTGTAATTATCTGTAAAATCAAACACTTGTTCAAGAAAAGGAACTCTTAATAAACACTCAAATTCAAGAAAAGCCATTTCTGAAGAAACCAAAATCACGTGCAAAATCAAAGTGAGACCGACCACCTTTTGAGGAGGCTGACAACAGTTTCAAAAACACAGGCAAAACTGCCCCTGAAAAGTGGCTATGACAACCCTAGGCCCTTCTCCACGGCAATCCAGAAAGCTGCCTGAGAAAGCACGAGTTTTTAGGCCCATCTCTAGAATCACTCTCACTGGAAAATGCTGTTTTAAGTCAAAGGCACATGGAGAACAAGCAGCAAAAATAGGACAGACAGCATCGGTGAACATGTACCAAAAGCAAAACATTCCACTTAAAAAAAAGGAAAAAAAAAAATATTTGTTAGTACTCACTGTTCTGTAGCTATGTATTTTAGCAAAATGAAACACTCAGTTACAGTACTGCCCAAAGAATTCACGATCTCAGCATTTTCCTGCTTTGTAGTAGTAGCAGCTGAGAAGCCACAAATGCTCAGCAGAAGGGTAAAGCCAGTCCTGGTTGATTCATCTGAAATCAGCTTCAGCGCACTTGTACAACAGAGGCATTTAACTGATCGGGAAGGTTCCTGGTGATTGAAAGTTCTCTACAAGTACATAAATATTCAAGCCAAATTGTTCTAAAAGAAACCATCTTTAGCACTGATTTACTAAGGAATTAAGGACATATGAAGGTATTATCTGCCTGCAGGAACCCACCTCCAATTCTCATAATTCTTCAAACTACCTAGTAAATTTCAACTACATTTGGCAAAGAGCAGAAATATCAGTTGTATGATTTTTTTCCCCTTAAATTTTGTGAAAATCAACAGCTGAGTAAAGTAGACAGTCCTGAGTTAGCATCCCACTGAGAAAGACAGGTATAAAATCTGCCCTTTCCTTTGAAAGGCAACAGACACCAGTCACCTCTGAATCCAATGTCTGCTCTACCAAACAGGATGGGCAGATCAGAATAAGCTTTGAGGTACTACCATGGATAGACATGGGATGGATGCTGATGTGATAGACAAGACAAAAGATGACAATTTTGCAACAACAACAAAAATAGAGCCTTTAAAAAGCCAATGAGGCATTCAAAAAATCACAGTATCCAAAACACAATCGGTTCACAAATCAACTCAGAAATCACAGCTTAAAAGTAACATTTCTCAAAATGCCCTCAACATATTCTGCTAAGAGAAAAGCAATATGGGTGACTGCAAAATACTGACAAGATGTCACATATGACAGATTTAGAAAGAAAATTAGAAATAGAGAAAATATTGGACAGAGTGGAAATTTAATACATATTTACCACATAGAATCTTTAATAGCAATCATTATTTTATACATTAATTGCGTTAAATTTGTGATAGAAAATTAGAAATGGGGAAAAACTGGACTTATACTCGAAATTTAATATAGATTTACCCCATGGAATCTTTAATAATAGCCAATGATTTTATTAATTTTTTTTAAATCACATCGTACATCGAAAGACTGCTACTCAATTTTTACCTCGGTTCAAACAGTAAAATTGTAGTCATTACTTATGCAGGAAATGAACCATGTTTTTTTTCCACCAGAAGTGCTACTAATATCTATCTAAAATATTAACAAATTGGAACAATATATTTTAATTGCTTCAGATAATGCTTGCTAAGTACCAGTAATGTAAGCAGCATTATCTCATCACTTAAACCAGAAATGTTAAAGGTATATGCCATCCTCCATACAAAAGAAAGTATTTTCCTCTTGTATAAAGGAGAATCCGAATGCTTGCAGATGCATCGCAATCATCCACATATACAAAAAAAAAAATCAGTGCTTTATGTAATAATGAAGGAGTACTACTATTTAAAATGCCCTACAGATGCACAATTTCATCACTTTTCCCTCTTTTGGTGGATCTTCAGAAAAGCTTGCAATGTAAGGCAAAATGCATTAAACTATCTCAAACAAAGAACACAATGAAAATCATGCCATACTTTCTGAACTAGCTTAGATTCATGAACCATAAAAACTGGACCTGAAAATCCAATTTGCACCCTACACAACCTGACAGTGATGTCCCACCTATTCATATTACTAGTATTTAAAAGACAGACTGAACACTTCCACGTCTTAGTTCCTGAAAACAGTGAAGGAAAATTGAAACCCTTTTTGAAATTATACTTTTTACAGGCGGGGAAAAAACAAACAACTTCACATAGAACACCAAGAGGCATATAGTTCTGTGGATATCACAAATTATAATGGCATTGTTTGTAACTTTTAGGTAAATTATTTGGTGCTCGAGAATACTGGTTAGATTTTTAGCTTCTTTGCAGAACTTTTTGCCATGTATTATCAAAACCCACATATCTGGACAACAGAAAATGAAGATCAGAACTTGCTATCATGATAGTTACTTCCTCTTTCTCAAATACATATTCAATATGAATTATTAATAAGCTTAAATGAAATGGCTCCTTCATAATGTCTCCAAGAGACTTCCTACCTTTCACATCTGCCACTATCATAAAGTCCAGGTGTTAACTTTATAAAGCTTATCATGTTACTTCAAAATCTGTTTTCCATGAAATAGCCTTCTAACTCAGTTTTTAAAAGTAAAACATGAACAGAGTTGTAAGAAGTAATATGAAAACAGACTGGTTCATTAGTGAGTCCTAATGTTGAAATATTACATCAGTTTCACCATAAATTCAGAAGTAACTTCTATCAAGCAAGGAATTTGCTCTTTTCCAGTTTGGCAAGTGTAACAAAACCTACTGAAGAAGGTGAAGTGGAAGAAAATCAGAACTTACTGTGGTGCAACCCGTCTCCAGTAGCGATCAATTCCATTTTTAAAGTATAGCACAGCTAACCATCTTACATTCACATCCAGGCTATGATTTGTAAAGATATTCTGTTTAAAAAAAAGATTAAGTTAAAAATTGCTCAGTACGCCACAGACAGGATAGAAATTTCATTAACAAATGCACTGACATATATGTAAATACACACATCTCTGTATGTACAGGTGTATATAAACAAAATGCATTAATCAGCATGTGACAGACACGTGAAACAATGCTCTTTAATTTTTAAAGATTACAAAAATGCTTATCACTAGCCCTCATACTTGATTTATAAAAAATAAACCCAACATATAAGGCAAATGTATTTCGAATCTAGTCTAGCTGAGCAGGGAATAAAATGGTAATAATAACTAGCACCATCCAGTTATTACACTCTTTAATAACATAGCTGGATTCTGACCAGAATAAGAAACTATTCTGTACTGTGCAGTGCCACAGACTTCTGAGACCTTTCAGGAGATTTCTACATTATCTTGACATGCGCCGAGAATTGTCCTGACTACCCATGTTGGCTGCAAAACAGTGACCTGGTAGGACAGCAACTCTCAAACTTGTCTATGCTTATTCTAGGAAATTCATTTCCACTTCTAAAAATCTATTTATCTATAGACATATCTGTATGTGTGTACATACGCTTTTATGTATCTATATGTATATACAAACACAGAGGGATTATTTTATGTAGTAATGTTGAAAAATTAACTAACCAGGACAAGCTAAAATAAAGGTAGGCTATTGAATCTTAACACAGGTACTACTCTGAAGAGCAGCTTTCCTCCTGTTTTCCACTGCATCAGATGGATCCTTCTCAAAGGGGTGAGGCACTACTCCCTCCTTTAGTGAGCAAACAGGCATGAACTCCACTGTCTTATTACACAGCGCACTGTAGAAAAAGAGCGCACCACTTGTATCAATTGCTTTTAGAAAGCCACTAAGAACAGATATAAAAAATGCAGGGGTTCAGGTCAAGAGCATTTGCTACTTTGGGTGCCACGTAAACCCTTCAAAGAACTCAGCACTACTGACACCTGGGACCTCATCAAGTGTTTCCACTATGAATTCAAAACTTTTTCAACATTCTCTCAAACCATTTCTACAAGAGATTTCTAGATGTAATGCCCAACACAAAAAAATCCTCACAAACTCCTAGTGGAAAGCAAACAGACTTATGTGCCAACGAAGGTATTGACTCCAAAACTAGCAACCTTTAGAAAAACATCAAAAAGGTTGTAGCCCACTGATAAACACCACACAACATGAAAAGAATCTATAATACATCTTCCTCTCCTGAAGCTCATTTAGGAAGGACTGAATCTCTGAAAGATTTGACCTTTCCCAATGCAACTTAAGCATTTTATGATACGAAGAGGAAACTTCAAACACCGTTTTAGCCTCATATCCATGAAAAGCATTGCAAAGCAAATGGAAACATGGAAAAAGAAAACTACTTGTTCTGAAGCTCCCATTGAGCCTTCTAATTACAATTCCGCTCCTAGCTAAAATAGTCACTGGAAGCAAAGCTTCCTCAAATCAAAACAAAATGCAAAAAGGAGGCCAAGGTATCTACACAAGAACCAACAAAACCTCTCTATACATTCTGTATATATGTAGGAGCTTCCCAATATACTCTGTGTATCTATGTATGAGCTTACCAAAACAAAGTTTTTCATATAACACACTAATGCTGTCCTAGAACTAACAGGAATGGAACTAAACAATACATAAATTGATACAGCTGGTAAAGGACAGAGGTTGCTTTTCAAAAAGAGCCACTCAATCCCTGGCTTTTCAGCTCTGTTCTTCAAAAGACAGATGCATAACACCTTCAAAAGAGAAGCACAGAGACTAACATTAGTAACTCCACTACGTACTAAAAATTGTAGATTCAAAGACGTATGTTTCATGGTTCTTCAGAATTTTCTCTATTCTGATCATCCCAGAGGAAAATGTACCTGACAGTAAGTTATTACTTCCTGTATCCCATAGAGATTCACTGTCTTGCCAACTCTCCATTTATCATTACCTGCTTACCCCCACCCTTTTCTGCTCCACCAAGAAGGTGCCAACTATCTTCTCTCCCAGGCAGTCCCCCATCATAATCAAGTTAAACAAAGGAGTAGAGATTCTCTACTTCTATTTAGTTTGGAAGATTACTGTTTATATTTCACACTTGAAGAAAGGCTGATGTGTCCCCAAACCAGGCTACTTAACCACGTTAAGAGAATTAACAGTATTTGATCCTTTCAAACACTGCATTTTTAGCCCTTATATTTAAAACTAACTCACATCAAATTCAGTTACACCTGTGAGTGCTCAACTTGTTTACAACCTGAGCTGTAAGCTCTCACAGCAAACATCCAGAAGATAAAGAATGCCCAGTCAGTGGCAATTTCTGCTGTGTTCTAACAAGATCACTTATCACCACAGAAACACTGTGATGTATGGCAAAGGCAGTGAGTAAAACACAGTTTGATAGCTCAAAAGTCAGATTTTTTTCCCCATTCCCTAAATCCCCTGATTCACCTTCAACTTCCAAACAAGTGAAACACAGGGTCTACAGAGAACAGAACATGTCACTCCACAATGCTAAGTCATTCGTCCTACACACTGAAGACAGATGTTTGTAGGAAAAGCAGTTTATCTGTGTTTTTAAGACTATTACAAATGTACACATAGGAATCTGAGAATTACAACACTCTTAACTTCTGAGTGTCTTCTCTGAAACAGTTGGGTCTCCTTCTTTGACTATGTTTTCATCACCTTGCACCATATTAAAACATTTATTTTATCAATGGTTGTAGCACCTTTAGAATCATAGAATGGTTTGGGTTGGAAGGGACCTCAAAGATCATCTAGTTCCAATCCCCCTGCTGCGGGCAGGGACACCCTCCACTAGACCACGTTGCCCAAAGCCCCATCCAACCTGGCCATGAACACTTCCGGGGGTGGAGCATCCACAACCTCTCTGGGCAACCTGTTCCAGTGCCTCACCACCCTCACAGTAAAGAATTTCTTTCTAACATCTAATCTAAATCGACCCTCCTGCAGCTTGACCCCATTACCCCTTGTCCTGTCACTACCCTCCCCGATACACAGTCCCTCACCATCTTTCCTGTAGGCCCCTTCAGGTACTGGTAAGCCACCATTAGATCTCCCTGGAGAACAACCCCAACTCTCCCAGCCTGTCCTCATAGGAGCGGTGCTCCAGCCCTCTGATCAGCTTCGTGACCCTCCTCTGGACTCGCTCCAACAGCTCCATGTCTTTCTTGTCCTGGGGCCCCCAGAGCTGGATGCAGTACTCCAGGTGGGGTCTCACAAGAGTGGAGTAGAAGTATTCACTTTTCCCATTTCAGGAACCTCACTACCAGCCCAGTCAGGTAATGTCCCTGGGAGTCCCTCTCCACTGACAAGGAAAGCAATCCTAGCTGGGTATCAAACTTAGTGCAATGAAAAGCATGGGGAAACTTCTGTGAAATAAGTCATAATACATCAACTCCAGAATAAAGACAAGGTGATTACTGCCTTGGTATATACAAGTGTTCCTGCCTCATGGGGTAGTAAAGACAATTCCTTTGACAAGGGTCCTCTTGATCTTCTGTTATCTAGAATCCACAACAGGCCAACAACAGCTTTAGCACAAGAGCCCACCCCGTCATGCCACCAGAAGGAATCTCCTCCTTCTCCTGAATGTCTGGGTAAAGATGCTGCTTTGAGACACAGTGATGATAATGCCTACCACCGCATAGCAGAAGGATACTAGTAGCTGGACCATGATGACTCAAGGCTTTTCTCAGCCAGAGGCCATGGTTCAACAGTATTCTAGAGAGCCACATTCTCAAAATTACTCAAAGTTTACTTAATAGCACTTTTCCACTGTATCTTACCAACAACACTGAATAAAAACCTGGCTGTGTCTCCCACTGCTTCAGTTGTTCCTCAGCTGGCTTCAACACTGCAGTATCTTGACTAGTAGCTTGGGTCAAGACTTGCAAAACAATAGTGCTAGCACTATTGAGATCCATGAAAATCTGAGGACATTTAAAAAGGAGGAAAAACACTTAGAGGAAAAAAAGACAGCAAATATAGACAGGTATTTTCCATTCATATTATCTGAACAGTCCACGCTCATTTTTCATTAGACTACATTGTGTAAGACAGAATTACACCCACTCACAGGCAGTGTCAAGGCACAGTGATTAAACTATTTTGCTTTCAGAAATCTCTCAGCAGAAAAAGCAAGCATTGTCTATCATTATACGGCCATTTACTAGATTTGAGGAATTACAGGAAATATTTTGATTTTAAACCACTTACCTCTCCTATGAAGCACAGCAAACTAAGAGCAAAACTGCAACTAGCGATGACTTCAGCTGTAGGCAGAGCAAACCATGGGGCTGTCTGAAAGAGGCAAAGATGCACAGTATTAACATTTTCATATTTTCTGAATAGTTTTTCCCCCAAAAGAGAAAATGACACATTTCAGATAGTTGAATTCTACAATTAAAATTGGTCTAGACATTTTATATCAGTTAAGAGGATGAATTATCATTTCAGAGAGTCCTAAATAAAAATGAGTTTTCCTCAATATATTTGTGTTCCTTCATTATCTATGTAGCATATAAAATGCTAAATAAGAAGGCCAATTGCCTAACTTCCAATATAAATACTCTTGTACTGCATACAAAAGAAAACATTGCTCTCCGGATGACAGAGATTAATTTATAACGACCACAGAAACAGCATTAAAACAAATTCAAGAGAAACGTATATAAAAGCAACTATGAAGTCTGACAAAATTGGTTTTCTGTCTACAAAAACTTGTTTATAACCTATGTAAACTTTTTGTAATATGAATGCACATTAAATATTTGTATATGTAAGTTTTCCAAACAACCAACCAAGCACATTTTCTCTTCAAAGAGCCTTGAGAATTTACTTTTATTTAACATTAAAAAAAAAAAAAAGCTATTTTTCCAACCTTCAGGAAAAAAACCCTGAGGTGTAAAATTCTTACTGTGATGGCAAGAAAGCTAGACAAACGACATCTTATTCTGACACAGGTTTAAAATTTTGATTTTTTGAAAAAACAACCATATTAACAACAAAACTAGCAACAGGATTAAAAACCTTTTATGCTAATAATAACCCTACACAATTTAAAGAAAAAAAATAATCTAATAATTCTCAATCTCTAAGTCTCCAATCATACTCAACAAAAACTGACTAAAAATTTAAGGTCTTGAGGTTAAAGAAAGTGTAATTCAAAGCCGTAAGCCACAATATCATATCTCTCTTTACAGCAATAATTGAACAGAACAAGTAGCTCAACCTCCGCTTTACACTTTACAAGTGATGCATCTTTTTATCTCTCTACTTTAACTGCCCTGTGTACTGGGTTTGTGTGGCAAGGTTTTGGTAGTGGGGGCTACATGGATAACATAGCTAAGAAGGAAAAATAAAAAAAGAAAAAAAATGAACAGTTTTTGCAACAGGAGAGAGAAGTGAGCAGATATGAGAGGAACAACCCTGCAGACACCCAGGTCAGTGCAGAAGGAGGGGCAGGAGGTGCTCCAGGTGCTAGAGCAGAGATTCCCCTGCAGCCCTGGGAGAAGACCATGGTGAAGCAGGCTGTCCCCCTGCAGCCCATGGAGGAAGGATGACGGGGTGTAGAGATTCCACCTGCAGCCCGTGGGGGACCCCACGCCGGAGCAGCTGGAGGCACCCAAAGGAGGCTGTGGCCCTGTGGAGCTGGAGCAGGCTCCTGGCAGGACCTGTGGCCCCATGGAGAGAGAAGCCCACGCCAGAGCAGGTTTGCTGGCAGGACTTGTGACCCCGTGGGGGACCCACGCTGGAGCAGTCTGTTCCTGAAGGGCTGCACCCCACAGAAGGGACCCACGCTGGAGCAGTTGGTGAAGAACTGCAGCCCGTGGGAAGGACTCATGTTGGAGAAGTTAGTGGAGGACTGTCTCCTGTGGGAGGGACCCCTGGCTGGAGCAGGGGCAGAGTGTGAGGAGTCCTCCCCCTGAGGAGGAAGGAGCGGCAGAGACACCATGTGATGAACTGACCACAACCCCCATTCCCCGTCCCCCTGTAGTGCTCCAGAGGTAGAGAAGCCAGGAGTGATAGAGCAGCTTGACAGGCACCTGGTGCCAGCCAAGGTCAACCCACCTCACCCTGCAAAACTAATCTACCTTCTATTTCTTCATATCTACTTGTGACAGTCATTTCAACCTTTAACAATTTGCAGATTCTCTTCCTGCAATTATTAGACCTTTGCATGAGAAACTCAAACATTAAACTTCTCAGCTCTCTTCTCAGAAGACTATTAATATCCACGGGACCAGGACCCCAATTTAGACTATAAAATCCCATTGGTACTGGTTTATCACCTGTGTAATAGCACCCAGCACAAAGAATCAACATCAAGGCAAGACTTTGATGTTACACTAAAAAGTCCAGCTCGCTTCCTTTTTCCATCAAAAATAATCATGGAATAATGAATTTGTACATAATGCTGTTGACAGGACAGGCAGTAAAAAGAGGTCTTTGAAAAGGTGCAATCTTTTTAACTTTCTTCTTTTTTGCAGATATTTTGATTATCTTGAGTACCTTAGGCTGCCTTCATTACTGCACAGCCAAAATTGTCCAGGAAGCAGGATGTAATGATAACACTGGAAAACTCTGGGTTAACTTGTAAGGATCACAACAGGAACTCCATATTCACAGCACAATGAACTTGAGTAAAATAAAGTATACACAAGTAAAGCAGCAATAAAAGATATATTCAGATTTTTCTGGTATAAACACCTTAGCACTGAAGTACCTAGTACACCTAACAGAATTTCAGAGCACCTAAAAATGGTAGTGAAGTAGAGGGAGAGAGGAAAAGAAGGATATGAGAAAAAAAACAGAAGTAGGTGTAGACTTTGCACTAAGGAGGAAATCACGGCTCAATTCCTGCAAGATTAAAGCTACACTTCATGTTATGAAGTTTTCATTTATTTCCATTCAGAAGTCAAATTACTTATTTTAAAAAGAAATACAGTCTTATCTTACATTCTCAAACAAGGCCTAATAAAGTATAAATCTGAAGCGCCTGTCGAACTAAAAGTATAGCAGGCCATCAGTTTGATTATCAGACGAAAACCAAAAAACAGAGAACTTCTGAAAGTTAGTAAGCTGGCAGAGCATGTGTGTGTAAACAAAGTGATAAATAACTTTGTCAACTTCAGAGAAGCTGATTTTAGGCCTTTTGCTGAACAATGTTCTCCAAATAATGAGTTGCCATAGGAAAACTGCACGTGTAGCAACAGTGAATCTGCAGGGCATACCCAGATCTGTGCTGAAGATTCATTACAAGGACATGTTTGAGAGGAAAAAAATGGATTATGGAGCATTCATGTAACAATTGATTTCACACTACAAAACTAAGATCAGCTAAATTAAATTATTTCTCAGCTACATTCAAATCTGACACAGAACAGGATGGAATGGTGCTTCTACTGAAGATTTATATATTTCACCCAGAATAGTTTTTATCAGAAGACTTACTTATTGAAATTCGTACAATACAAACACAAAACTCATGAGGCTTTTTTTCATTTTCTTATTTCAAAATAATTAGCTGGCAGATCTAAAGACAATAACAACACAAAATTAAAAAAGAAATATCCACAAAACTTGTTTTATTAATGCTTCTCATTCTTGAAAAAGTTTATATTTTCATTTAAAAATTGGAGCAGCTATTGCCACTCAAAAAAAACCCCAAGAAAAACCAAACCAACCTTAGCAGGTCAGAACAAAAGTTAATTTAATCCAGTGTTCTGTCTCTGTCAAAGACCATAGCAGATGCCCAGGTCAGGACAATCTTGTAGTGATATTTCTGAATAGTCCCATCCTGCAGAAAACTGTGGTTAAAGGATTTCCTAGTCAGACACAGGGAATTTAAACTGAATAGCCCTCAAGAGATTTAGTCTTCCATGAACTTGCACAGTTGCTTTTTGACCCCATGTAAACAACAGTCCTCACACAGCACTGGATAAGGCTGTTCCAAGCAAAATAAAATTGAAGATAAAAATAATAATCTCCCTGAAGATGGGGCAATTTTTAGATATAGTTTATCAATAACGTAAAATATTTAAGGAAGCAGTATATTCTGTGTGATTTGGATGGCAAAAAATTAACTGGAAAAACATCTGATACGTGTATAGCAAATGCAAATGGCAAGATGCACAAATGGCAATAATTTTCATTATGGCTGGGATTTTGCAAAGTCCATTGCAAACTTATCATCAGAACCCATACAGACCAAGCAGCTGTCCACTGCTTTTACATTTAAGAAATTCCTCTAAACTGTTTCTGCTTTCTTCTCATAAGTCACTAGAGTCTTATTTTTTACAATTATTTTCCTTTTTTTAAAATATGAAAAGGAAAAAAAACCCAAAACCTATTTCAAACAAATCCTTATGCACCAAACTTGATTTTGCAGTTTAAACTAGCTACAAAGAAGTTACACTGATTTAATTAGGCACGGTCACCAAAACAAATAGCATGACCCTCTGCTTGTCCCTGCGCCCCTTAAATACCTGAAGCTGGAGGGATTAGGGAAAATGCACAGTTTTTTGTTTGGAGTAAGCTCCCCAGTCATTTCCACACCACACTGCTAGACAGGTGAATGTGCTGGGCATAGAGAAGCAGGCAAAACACGTGCAAGCAGCTTCTTCACTGTGCAGCAAGCAGATGCACTGCTTCTTCAGCAGCAATGCTGGCTTATGCCTGCTTAAGGTGTTTGCCAAACTGCAATTTTAATAAACATTATGACTACTATTGGGAGATTCATGACTTTATACTAGGGTGTTTATCAGTATCATAACAATGAATGAGTAGCCACTTTTAGGGATCTCCCTTTCCAGCAAAATGCAATGCAGTGATATTAGCAACCTCTTTTTCCCCACAAAAATAATTCTTAACACTAGAGTGGAAAAAAAACCCCAATTTTTTTCTTAAATCTTAAAAAATTAGA